ATGTTTAACAAAAAAAATCGGTGAAATAAAATACTGAATTGTGGTACATAATTATTAGTTTTGATTGATTTTGAAGATTTAAATGATGGATTAATGAATTGATTCAGTGTCAGTAAGTAATAAAAAAAGCCTGTAAAAAATATAAGTAAAGTTTAGTTGGTCATGCCGGTACATACCGCAATAAATGGATATGTATATCGCTTATATGCAGGTTTAGCACAGGGAGGATTTGATGATATTTTTCGTTTTTGGGTTATTCTAACCAATTAGGAAATAGTAGTGTAAAGTGAAAACTGTAAGTTGAATAGGTGATGGTTATATGCTTTATAAAAATAGATAAAACTGCTAGATGAAACTGCTAAATATAAATCATGTCTTTTGGGATGAAGAGTGTTTAACCGTACTTATTTACGTTTATTATTCATTTACTTGCTATTAAACTTGCATATATTAGCAAAAGACTGAAATTTATAGTTAATTAATGTTTTCTTTCAAACAGTACTTACAAAATATATGAAAAATTAAGGCGTTAAATTCTTCTTATGCATATACAAAATCAGTGTGTAATTGGATATGCCAATGCATATCGTTATGCGCTCCTATATGAAGGCTAATAGAAGGCCCATTAGAAGACCTCATAGAATATCTACTTTTAAATTCTATTAGAAGACATTAAAATTTAATAAATGTAGGTCTGCTGAAGTCTTTGTCGAGTGTTATAAGGGAGAATTTAAACAGCATATACCTGATGGATGGTATATGCTGTAAACAGCATATACCTGATGGATGGACTACTAATGACATCCAAATAAAATTTATTTATAATTAGATAAGACATTATTTATTTTAAATATTTTTATTGTTTTGACAAATTATTTAGAACATTTCCACTAAGTGTTTTGAACAGCTAACATTTCTTTACTGGTGTGTACAGTAGAGTACTCCAGCATTGTGAACGTAGCGTAAATATGTAGGGGATAATAACTCGATAGAAGAAATGTTCGTTATTTTTTATTTTTAAAATAGTTGAAATACTTTTGTAAAACAAGTTGTATACCTAATTTTAACAATTGAGGTTTTAAACTTCTGATGGGACTTTTACTAAAACCCATCACATTTTCTAAAAGAAAACATTAATCAAAGCAAATTATACACTTTGATAATATCAATAAAGTTATTTTTTTACCACAGATTTGAACTACAAAAATATGGTTTTATTTTACACATTCATACAATTTTTCCACCATTGGTTCTGGTCGAATTTCGACCGCTGGGCGAACTCTAGTTCTTACAAATGTTCACAACGCTGTTCTACTTAGTATAAATACAAACATAATATTGTATATTTGTTTTATTAGCAAAAAAAAAAAAAAACATTGAAATTCATAAACATTTAATCCCATAAAAATGTACTTTTAATAGGTTATATTTCTACGCCTGTCGGTTCTGTCTAACGGCCTGCTATCCCTCCATACTGACGCTTTAAATTCGAGTGTAATATATCTATTTATTTATTTTGTTTATTATTTTTTTTGTTTTGTTTTTTAAGCAATAATAACAAAATTATGTTTAAATTGAGGTTATTTTTAGTTTCAATATTTTTATGCAATTATCATTTATTTATTGTTAAAATTTTCATATTGTTAGATTAGTTTAGATTTATGAAAAAACAAAGCTGAAAAAAATAATGCAACAAAAATATATAAATAATAATGTCGAAAGTTTTAATGATTATTAAAAATAACTATCAATATACGACTATGAGGAATCCACTTTAAAAAATAAAAAGGGTAGATTGATTCAAATTTAACTTGCGGAAGAAGGCGGGAAAGGAGGCGAGAGAAGAGAAAGGGAGGGACGGAAAAACGGAAGGAGGAAAAAGGACGGGGGGGGGAAAACGGAGAAGGGACGCGGGGGACGAGCCGGAGAAGGGGGGGGCCAAAAAAAAACGAAACACCGGAGGGGGAAGCGAGCGAGCGAGCGAGACCGAGCAAGCGACCGAGCGAGCGAGCGAGCGAGCGAGCGAGCGCGAGCGAGCGAGCGAGCGAGCGAGCGAGCGAGCGAGCGAGCGAGCGAGCGAGCGAGGAGCGAGCGAGCGAGCGAGCGAGCGAGCGAGCGAGCGAGCGGGGGACGAGCGAGCGAGCGAGCGAGCGAGCGAGCGATCGAGCAGCTAGCGAGCGATCGAGCTAGCGAGCAGCGAGCGAGCGAGCGAGCGAGCTATCGAGCGATAGCGAGCGAGCTAGCGAGCGAGCTAGCGAGCTAGCGAGCTATAGCGAGATTATCTATCTATATCTATCTATCTATCTATCTATCTATCTATCTATCTATCTATCTATCTATCTATCTATCTATCTATCTATTATCTATCTATCTATCTATCTATCTATCTATCTTTGAAATTATATCGTGCATGTATGATCGTTTGTTGAATATCTTGCCATCAAAATCTCATTGTCATGAAAATTAGAGATAGCGACTATTGGATATGGTTCTCCTTACAAAAAAAGCCATAATGTATTTAGAATTTAATTGAGATTAAAAAATGATAAGTAAATCAAATAATAATTAATCTCCAACTAAGGCCTGTAATATTTAAAAATAGGTATCTACGAGTATAACAGGCTACACATTAGATATTTATAAAAAATTTCAATAAAATTTAAAATATATATTTCAAAATATCGTTTTACTTCTAAAGATCTAACCTGAAATATAATATCAAAAGTGGAAAAGATTTAATAATTCCATAATTTTAAGTTATGTCCTTAATCTTAATAGCCGTATCAAATATTTAATTATTTTCACTTTTGGAGACATATGTACTGTATGACATATAGAAATTTCACATACATATGTATCATCATAAGTATGTAATTTATTTACTTTGTTTATATTAAAATAAATTTGATTTAATAGATTTATCTAAACGCAATATAGAAAGTGTTTAACCAAATTTTCCATAATATTAAATAATTAATTTTTTGATTATCAAAAAGTTTAATTAAAATATTTTCCTTAAATATGTTTGCCAAAAATGTTTAAAATAATTTACATAAAAACTCATATTTAAAGACTTCACATACATGTCAATATTATTTGGTTAATGTTGTATTAGGTCATCGGTAGGTATATAAAGTTAGTACATTTTAGCAATTATAAGGTCTTGAAAAGTCAAAAATACATACAAAGTAAACAATAAACAAAACATATGAATTGTAAGTTATTGGTTACAAATTAATTTTAATAATCAAGAGTGCTTAATTAAATTATATTATGAAAGTTTAGGGTTAAATAGAAATTAAACAAAACAATTATATGAATTACTTTTTTTTATAAATATGTAGTTTCTTTAATTATGCAGTAATGGATTAAAATGCAATACAATAAGAACGTTAACTTATCTTGATATAATCTAAACTTTTAATTAATTAAACAAAATTTTGAAATAATTTATAAAAATTGTATGGAAAAATTTTTCTCTAGAAACCCCCTAGTTTAATACGTTTTGTTTTTTAATCACTAACAGTGTTAACTGAAATTTTATAAACACCATCATCAATGTGTAGTGATCATTTAGTATGTTTTTCACACTTTCCAATCGTCATTAAATTATTTTTTAAATAATTTTTCCATCTAAACAAACAAAATGTTGATGTTATAATAAAACGCGCAATTTTTTGTTTTTGTTTGTTTTGTGTACAAATTAGTACAAATGTTTGCAAAATAAAAACAATATAATAAAAAAACATTAAAAGTAATTTTTGCTAGAAATGACCATTAAATGAAAGAAATAATGAAATGTAACAAATTTCCAAGAAGTTTAAGAAAACAATAATTTAAAAATAAGTAGAGTAGAGATAAGTGCAAATGATAAATGAGTGTAAATAAAAATCTATATTTAACGAAAAAAAGGAATGCATAATATAATTAAAAAATGCAACAAAAATAAACAATACGTTTTAGAGGACTGAGAAGAATTGTTTGAAATTTTTTGTAAAATGCTTAAAATTTTCGAAAAATTTTGAATTTTCTAAAGAAATGTATAATTATCGAAAATTTCTGGAAACAATTTTTTCTGTTAAAGAAGTGAAAGAAAATTTTGTTATAAAAAAAAAATAAATTTCTATAAATTTTTGAAAGATTTAAAAAAAGAGAATATTTAGAAATTTTTTTTAAAAAAATAAATTTCAAAAATTGTCTATAAAAAATAATTAATTTTTCTATAATTCTACAAATGAGAAAATTTCGATATTTAAATAAAGAGAAATAATAGATAATTTTTTTTAGATCTTTAGACAACAAAGATAAATATAGGCCAAATGCAAAGTGGACCGTGTCAGCTAGTTTTCTGCAAAAAGGGAACTTTTTAAAGACCTCAAGTTTTATTGATCCCAGTCTTTGTTGTCATAAATATTTACACAATATGGGCGAAAAAGTTAAACTTAATAATAAATATTTACCTGGCCATATTTAGACAAGATAAAACGGTTACGGGCCAGACAGACAGACAGAGCAGTCAAGAAATAAATTTAAAGCGCAACAAAAAAACATACGAATAAAAGGCATGTTAAAAATCGTTTAACAGCTAATTGTATTCGACAGAAAACGCACAATGTAAATATTTGAGGCATAAACATACACATGTGCATTTGCAAAAATATTCCTAAAACATTTGCTAATTATTTTCTGCTCTAAGATTAAACAATTTAAAGCATCTAAATAATGCTAATATTAAAAGCAACCACATCGTATTCTCCCCCACCACTATAGCGATGAAAAACTAATAAAAATATACATACACACAAACATACATATGTATGTATCATCAAGACAACAAGGACAAACTAATGCAAGTTTAATGAACTTTAAAATTCTTTATTTTTTTTCCAGTTGTTGTTGGTTACGTATGAGAGAAAATTTCAATGAAAAATTAATAAATAATCTCCCCATGCACAGAAAATGATGTTTGTATATTTGAGTTTAGATTAAATTTCACTTACCTTATGAAATGCTTTACGAAAATTATCCGATAAAAATGCATAGAGTACCGGATTTATGCAGGAACTCGCGTATGCCAGTGTTTGTGCGACAACTTGTAAAATCACGGTAACTTGGTATCGGCATGGTATATATAGAGGGCTTTTTAACAGTAGAATTAGCTGCAAAAATGTAAGATTCCATTAGTTAAATATTAAATACAATCTCTGTATATAGATGAAGAGAATGTGCAAACACGTACATTGCACAATGGGAGAGTAAAGTAGAAAAAATTTATGAGAATTGAAATGTCAAGAAACAGTAACAGAAAATTAAAAGTCTACTAGACTATAGAATATAGAATAGACTATACTACAAACTAGACTATAAAATGGAATATAGGACTAGACTATAGACTAGGACTATAGACTAGACTATAGACTAGACTATAGACTAGACTGTAGACTAGACTATAGACTAGACTATAGACTAGACTAGACTATAGACTAGACTATAGACTAGACTATAGACTAGACTATAGACTAGACTATAGACTAGACTATAGACTAGACTATAGACTAGACTATAGACTAGACTATAGGACTAGACTATAGACTAGACTATAGACTAGACTATAGACTAGACTATAGACTAGACTATAGACTTGACTATAGACTAGACTATAGACTAGACTATAAACTTGACTATAGACTAGTCTATAGGACTAGTCTATAGACTAGACTATAGACTAGACTATAGACTAGACTATAGACTAGACTATAGGACTAGACTATAGACTAGACTATAGACTAGACTATAGACTAGACTATAGACTAGACTCTATAGACTAGACTATAGACTAGACTATAGACTAGACTATAGACTAGACTATAGACTAGACTATAGACTAGACTATAGACTAGACTATAGACTAGACTATAGACTAGACTAGACTAGACTATAGACTAGACTATAGACTAGACTATAGACTAGACTATAGACTAGGACTATAGACTAGACTATAGACTATAGACTATAGACTAGACTATAGACTAGGCCTATAGACTAGACTATAGACTAGACTATAGACTACGACTATAGACTAGACTATAGATAGACTATAGACTAGACTACTAGACTAGGACTATAGACTAGACTATAGACTAGACTATAGACTAGACTATAGACTAGGACTATAGACTAGACTATAGACTAGACTATAGACTAGACTATAGACTAGACTATAGACTAGACTATAGACTAGACATAGACTAGACTATAGACTAGACTATAGACTAGACTATAGACTAGACTATAGACTAGACTATAGGACTAGACTATAGACTAGGACTATAGACTAGACTATAGACTAGACTATAGCTACTATAGACTAGACTATAGACTAGACTATAGACTACTATAGACTAGACTATAGACTAGACTATAGACTAGACTATAGACTAGACTATAGACTAGACTATAGACTAGACTATAGACTAGACTATAGACTAGACTATAGACTAGACTATAGACTAGACTATAGACTAGACTATAGACTAGACTATAGACTAGATAGACTAGACTAGACTATAGACTAGACTAGACTAGACTATAGACTAGACTATAGACGACTATAGACTAGACTATAGACTAGACTATAGACTAGACTATAGACTAGACTATAGACTAGAATATAGACTAGAATATAGACTAGACTATAGACTAGACTACAGACTAGAGTATAGACTAGACTATAGACTAGACTATAGACTAGATTATAGACTAGATTATAGACTAGAATATAAAACTAGACTATAAACTGGAATATAGTCTAGACTATAGACATTTTAATTTAGAAATGTTTATTTATACCACCCATTGTGCATTGATTGCAAAACAAGGCATTAGTAACTAGTATGTTGAATCAACTTCTAGCCATTCACATCAACTAACAATAACTGTAACAAAATGCAAACATACATTTGTAACATTGCAATATCCCATGTTGGGAAAATGGAAATTCAAACAACAAATACGAAAACTTTAAAATCCAACCCAAAGCTAGTAACAATATCATCACTTTCTCATATTGTCTTTCAGTCAGTTTGTCGTCTAGGTTGTTCTATTCGTACATGTGTCTACTGTATACCTCTAACGGTGCCGTTGTCAAATATTTACACACAAACACTCATCACATCTTCAACACACCCATACACTCTGATGCAGGAATTTTCAAATTAAATAACAAAACAAAAATCTTCATCATAACAATGTTTTAGCAAAACTCTCACCTGTACTGGCAACCATAATGATGCAAATGCAATCACAACAACGACAACCAGACGTGTCACACGTTTACGTCCTCTCTGTGATTCGACAGACATGCGAACACCACTGCCTTGTCGCCACAAACGAGTTATCATACGCATATACAAACCACTAATGACCATTAGAGGGAGTAAATACGAGCTGGTAAAAAATATTATTTGATACGTTCGGAGTCCTATAAAATCATTTGGTATAAATTGACACACTTCGAATTCGGGGAAATCTGGATCATCATCATCGGTCTTCTGCAATTGAAATGGTATAAAAATTGTAAAGTGTGAAAAAGGATTTGCACGAAAATCAAGTAATTCAATTTAATTCTACATCAATTAGTTAATTAAATCAATGTTAATGAAAATTATATTAGAATGTACAATACAATGGAATGGATTTTAAATTGTTTATAATTTCCAGTTTAAAATAAAATAAAAATTTAGGTAAATAATATTGCTCTAGCTTACTTAACAAGAAATTGTTTATTTTGGTTACATATAGTTCTATATTAAAACTCCCCATTGTGCATAATCCCAAAATTGTTATATTTATAAATGTGCACGCTGCCCAAATACATTTTGTTTTCTACTAAGTGCCTACTTTCAATTGCAAAATAAAACATAAAATCTATTGTAATAATGCTCATCATATAATTGCAACATTGCAATGCGTTGGAAAGTGTAAAATTATTAACGTATATTTATATTGAAAAAAATTATGAAAATATTTACACATACATTTTGTTTTGTTATTGTTATTATTCGTTCACATTTTATATTGTTTTTATTTAGACATACATACGTACATATGTACATGTATATAATTAATGTTTATTGTACGTAAAGTAATGTTTATTCAAAAATCGTAAAAATAATATTTCCAACAATTTTTACGACTTTATTATATATGTCTGTCTGTGGGCAAAACAAATAAAAACAAAACAATACAAAAACAATTTAACACAATCCGTTGCTGCTTTAGATTGCCAATATTTTATAAATACTTTCGTTTGCTGCTCAGCCCCATTCATGTTCCAAAAACTACCGAGGAGCATCATAAAAATAAAACAGCATGATATTTGTGGAAAATAGTACAAAAAATTTGATTATAAAATTATATACAAACGGTATTGTTAATAATTTAAATTTTTTGTGAAATTTGTTTATTTTTCTATAAAGATAGAAAAATATTCCTGTTGCAGCTTTTCCAGAGAGGCAGCAGATGCATGTGTTTGAGTGTTATAAAGAATGTAAAAAAGCGTACAATTGAAAACATTAAACTGATGTGTCCATTTAGACAATCAACTATTTGATTGAGTAGATGAAAACAACATGGTGTTTAATTAAAAGGTGTTATTTGAATCAGAATACGGAATAGATAGATAGATAGATAGATAATAGATAGATAGATAGATAGATAGATAGATAGATAGATAAGATAGATAGATAGATAGATAGATATAGATACGATAGATAGATAGATAGATAGATAGATAGATCGATAGATAGATAGATGATAGATAGATAGATAGATAGATAGATAGATAGATAGATAGATAGATAGATAGATAGATAGATAGATAGATAGATAGATAGATAGATAGATAGGATAGATAGATAGATAGATAGATAGTAGATAGATAGATAGATAGATAGATAGATAGATAGATAGATGATAGATAGATAGATAGATAGATAGATAGATAGATAGATAGATTAGATAGATAGATAGATAGATAGATAGATAGATAGATAGATAGATAGATAGATAGATAGATAGATAGATAGATAGATAGATAGATATATATATAGATAGATAGATAGATAGATAGATAGATAGATAGATAGATAGAAAGAAAGAAAGATAGATAGATAGATAGATAGATAGATATATAGATAGATAGATAGATAGATAGATAGATAGATAGATAGATAGATAGATAGATAGATAGATAGATAGATAGATAGATAGATAGATAGATAGATAGATAGATAGATAGATAGATAGATAGATAGATAGATAGATAGATAGTAGATAGATAGATAGATAGATAGATAGATAGAATAGATAGATAGATAGATAGATAGATAGATAGATAGATAGATAGATAGATAGATAGATAGATAGATAGATAGATAGATAGATAGATTACAAACATTATCTCAACAATATCAGCTTCAACACACACCTCCTTTAAAAACACTTTTTAGCTTTCAGTTGTTTTCCATAGTCCATATATCTCCACATTGTTCATATCTACACACATACATATGTTCGTATTTGTGGCTAAAACAAAATAACGTATGGCTAACAGCCAGGTAAACTACATTGCAAAAAGTTAAATGAATAACAAAATTCCACAATTTATGGCCATTTCAATCATCGACACCTCGTCAACCAGAATTTTATAGAATAGAGGATGGAAAAAGATTTAGAAGGTTTATCTACTAGTTAATAGTCAAGCATCAAACGAATTAATTGGAAATATTGGTAAATATTGATAAAAATTTAAATTTAATTAAATTGTGCAAAATTACTCATCATAAGGAAAATCTTTTTTACAAATATTTATCGAATTATAGGTTCATAAAAAAAATAGCAGACACATGTTGTATCATTATAAAGTTTTGGTTTCTTCGGATTACGCCTTAAGGCGATCTGTTTGCTATTTAAATAAACTTTAAAAGTGAAAACAAATTTTTTTTTAATATTTAAATAATTTTAACATAAATAATTTAAAAAATTGTTTCTATGTGTAAACAAATTTGTAGTAGTCATATGTTTATGAAATGTTTTAAAATTTTTAAGTTTTTTTTTTGCTGTGCTGCCAAATACCTTCCTTCTATTAGTAAAATCTAGACATTTTTCACACCTAATGCTTATAAATACATTAACAAGAAAATTAAATAAAATTAGAGAAAAAATATTTATAAAATAAAACAATTTAACTTATAGTTTATGGTGAGAGTTTTTTTTTATACATTCTGCAGTGGGGATTTTTATCATTTTGTAGTTTCTAAAATTTATATATTTTGGATCCTTACGTTCTACTAAAATAGTATAAAAACTTATTGCAGACACTTTATGGTTATGTGTCTTTTAATTTCTAACACATCGTTAAATATTATTAAAAGTACTATAATGTATTAGAAACGCACTAATAATGTGACATCTTAAATTGTTAAACTATATAGGCCTAAAACTATAAAATAGATAACATATGTTGTACTACATATACACGTACTTTTAGCAGATACTACATAGATACACATGTACCTTACTTGAAATGAACATATGCATGTATGTATGTAGGCAATTTGTAATACTACAACAAAGTGTGTTCAAAATATCATTAGACATTGTAATAATAAATCTTTTTTGGGGAGGGTCTGTGGTGCCCCTACGTTGTATAACTGAATAAATGTTGGATATGTCGCTACAAGTTATGCACTAAACTAACAATAACACAACAAGTGTGTATTTTATAAATGTTTTTGAAATCATGTGTATTTGTATGTGTGTGTTTACAAACATTCTTATTACTTGTAATGAGAGTGCAAAGCAAAAAGAAAAATTATATAGAAAAATGTATTTATAGAAAGTTTAAACACTTTCCCATACAAGCACATACTTGTGTTTTGTTAAACATACTCGTAAAGCAGACATTAAGTACATTTTATACCACTTTAATACTAACTACATATAACACTTGCACACACACACACCTACATCCATATACACATAACAATTTTATAAGTTTTAGTAAAATTATTAATAATTTCCTATAACACTTCTACATACACTGTTATAATAAGTCTTTATAAATATTAGTTTCCTTAATATTGACAGTTTTAATATAATATTTAAGTTTGATGTGACACTTCTGTTGCATTATTTGAAGTTTCTACTAGAGTGGTTGTTCGTTCTAAAATGGACAAATAACACATAAATTTATTCTTAAAAAATGGATATAAGTCTGGTACTTTTCTAAAATTTACCCTTTTCAGGAAGAAAAATAGTTTTTGGTACTCCATCCGGCATACTCTTTAAATACTCATAAATATGATAATTATGTAAGCTTGATATAACGTACCTCGAAAATATAACGTTAAGTACGGCATTAACGTTCATAACTGGTTAAAACCTGGTCAAGAAATGTCATTCGACACAATCAAGTTTTGTTAGATCGAAAATCACACAACCAAATTTTATGGGAATCGGTCCATAATTGATCATACCTCCCATGTTACTGGAAATAAGATCATTGGCAAGAAATCATATACTTAAAGTAGATATGCTAAAATTCTACAAAAATATTTGTTTCTCAGAAAGTAATCATACTTTTAAATACTGTATAGCTCAGTTCATAGTTGACCCATTAAAGGCAAATTTTAGAAAATCATTCATATTAATATTCTGCCTAAGTCTAATAAATAAGCAAATGTTAGTAATATTTAAATAACATTAATAAAAGCCTATGTCCAGCCTATGCTGCCTTCTGAGTGTTACAAATTTAGGATCCATGGTGTTTATATAAGATTTGATATAGCCGAAACCCTCTTACTAGTTTAAAAATTGATTATTCTTATACAGTGTGAATTACCGCTTATTAGACAAAAGAATTATGAAATTATAGTCGGGCTTGGTAGAACATATGATACCCTAAAATAATATCTATATATATAAAAATGATTGTGAACGGCTGAACCGATTTTCTTGAAATTTTCACAGTGTCTTCCGGTATGTCTGGAAGGAACTATAGGCTACTCTTGTTTTTGGAATTTCAAGTAGGGGATAGTATTAAAAGTCGCATATCTAAGAAACTGCAACAGTTAGAGTCATCAAATTTTGTATGAACAACTTTGATATCCATAGTAACACACGTTGATAAAATGAGCAGCCTAGCTTCAACGGGTGTGGCACCTCCCATATAAAGAAAATCTTTCGGAGCCACTTTAGTATCGACTTAAATATTTAGGACAAAAAATGGGCGGACTTGCAATAGGGGGCGTGTTACCTCCCATAGAATTAAATACTAAAATTCGTTTATCTGGGAAAATATGGGAGTTAGAATCTTAATATTTTGCAAGAAGACCTTTAACATCCATATAAATATTTCTGAGGGAAATGGGCGGTCTTTCATAAGGGGGTAGGGCCAATTAAAAAAGCATTAATGTTTATAAAAAAAGTTTTTTATGACGAATTTCATAGTGTTTATATAAGTGATTTCTGGGCGATCATATCATTTTAAGAAGAGGACTTATGAGGAGGAATGAGGCCTCAAATGAGGCTCATGGACAGCCGGATAGGTTTTTATCGGGAAATTATTCTACTTGCATATGTACTTACTTCTAGGTCCGATCTAAGAGTCCCTAAGATTATAAAGTTTGCTCTGTTTTAGAGAACATAATAATAGCTTATTTTTCTTGAACAGTGACTAAAAACTTTTAAAAGAACTAGGTATACTATATATGGAAGCTTGTGTATATAATTATATATACTTTAATGTTTTATTAAAATGCAATTTTCTTGTTGTATGGTTTTTGCATTGTTTAAATTTTGAATTTCGTTAGAATTTGTTATTATTCGAGACACGTTTGTTTATTTGTTGCACTCTAAATATTAAGAATAAAAAATTTGAAACAATTTTTTTATTTTTTGTCAAATTGATTTGATCTGAAATTGCTAAAGATTTTAAATCAATTACTTGAAAAGTCTTTATATATTATGGAGTGTGTCGGTAGGATAGTTTGGTGATGTGCTTGTCTATCAGTCGGAAGGCAGTGGGTTCGATTCATAGCAAAAACTTTGGCATGTTTTCACTGCAATGAGTTTGTGGTCATCATCACCATGTCATAGACTAATAAATAAATCCTTTTATTACGAAATTATTCAAATAAATACTTTAATCCAAATCTTAAATTAATTCCTAGAAAGTTCTTTAAAAAAGCTAGTCCTGCAGATAATAATAATCTACATATTTTGAATTACTAAATAATAACTGCTATTTGGTCTTTAATATTTAATAATTTTGATTGAATATGTATGAATTAAAATCACATAAATACATACATATGAGCTTATAAAAGGGATTATAATATACATATCTGAATTTCATTATGTTGTATGTACAAAACTATAACAAATTATTTAAAGATTTCATTAAAACATATTTATTTATCTATCTACTATGATTTTATATTTCTTATTTTTATATAATAATATTAATAGTTATTTAATATGTTAATAAATTTAATTGAAATAATTTGGAGTCAAGTGGAATGAACTGGCATGAAGGCCAACATAATAATATGTACACTTATTCTTTCAGTTATTCAGCCAACAAATAAGTAATAAATTAATAATAAATAATGTGTTTATTTATTTTTAAATGTGTTTAATGAAATTAATTTCGAAAATTTATAAAACGAATGAATTTCCGCAATTAATGCAAGGGTGTTGATAATAATGAGTATAATTTAATATTAACAGGAGCGTAAAAAGGCCTGGGGGCAAAAAATAACTTACCACAACTCCATGTGTAAAAGCCACTGGCAAACACACTAGCAATATCACCGTCCAAATGGCTGCAATACATATTTTGGTAATTTTTTCGGTACGCAACATACGTGAACGTATGGGATGTACCACCGCCAAAAAACGATCAATAGACATTAGAACCAAAGTATAAATACTTGTAAAGGCAGCAACCACAATTAAATACTGTACGGTACGACACCATAGGTCACCGAAAGGCCATGAATCGGCCACATAATCGGCGGCGGTAAAAGGTATACAAAAGATTACAAACAACAAATCGGCTACAGCTAAATTAACAATTAATAAATTTGTGGTCGAATGCATTTGTTTATTAAGACACACGACCAGTATGACTAAGATGTTGCCAAAGAAGCCGGTTAAAGCAATAACTCCGAAACATAAGGGTACAGTTACACGTACTAAACTGCTTATTTCGTAGAAATCTTGAAATAAATCCTGTTCTTTTGTTGTGGCATTGTTGTAATTATAAAGGGTGGTGGCTGGTGAAGGTATAGCGGCGGAGGTATTTTCAAAGTTAGGAGGCATTTTGTTGTCTGTGTAAAGTTGTTTAAATTGGTTTATTGATTTAAAGGGAATGTTTAATAGTATTTATTTTTATAATTTTATAGTGATTTCTCTTGTTAAACGTAATTGTTATGGTAATTTTTATTTTTTATTAATTATTTATTTCTTTTATTTTATATTCAAACATTTATTTTTATAATATTTTAATTAATCACTAAAACACATGTTAAATTTTTATTGATTTTCACTCTGTTAATGATAATATGGCTTTAATTTACACCATTTCCTTTTTAGATGCTTAATTTATAATTTAAATATATTTAGCTATTTTATATAGGAATCTCAGAAAATAAATCAAAATGGTTACCAATCACTTATTCATAACAATTTATCAAAGGTTTATAATATAGTACTTCATACAAAATGTGTTCTATAAACCTTCGATATCTTGTTATGTATAAGGTAGTAAAAAATTTATCGTAGATTCCAAACGTAGATATCTTTTGGGTCGATTAATGGATGCATGTGGTCCCGGTTCCCTCGTTAACGAAATTGTAAAGTTTAACTAAGTGTGAACTAAACTCTAAGTACATTTTTCGCAAAAAATCTGCTTTTTATAATTGTTAAACTTAAAATGGCTATAATTTAGGCGATGTTCTTTAAACAATTCTTTTTTAGTTCCAAAATCGGAAATATTTGCATCCGTTATTAGTTAAAAACCCTACAATAACCAATTTTGAACTTTTTATTTTCAAAATCGAAGACCTGGTAAACTATTAGAGAGAGTATAAAGCTGATTTACTATACATATAAAGTTCTTTTGAATCGGATCATAAACAGATTCAGATCGCAATGGATAATACTTTGTCTAAAGCATGAAAAATTGTTTCAAACATGGGCTAACCATTTACAAATTACGGATTTATATAAAATTTTCCCGATATTCCACAATTGTATGACCTTAAACGACCCGTCTTTTGAAGTAGTACGTAGGCATTTTACTCCTTCCTCCTATCGTGTTTTCATCAGTCAGGCGGACGGACAGACCCAAAATAAACACACATATGTGGGTCTACGACATAGGTAGGCAAAGAGCTCTCCTGCTCTAAAACAAGTACAGCAGAGATAATGAATAAGCTCTCTGACTGGCTTTGTTTGTTTTTTTAACAGTATTAGTTAATGTACGTGTAAAATCAATAAAACTTATGAGAGAGCTCTATGCCTACATCTGGTGTACGGGGCAATATTTCGATGTGTTATCATCGTTAACTAACTAACTAACTAACTAACTACTAACTAACTAACTAACTAACTAACTAACTACTAACTAACTAACTACTAACTAACTACTAACTAACTAACTAACTAACTACTAACTAACTACTAACTAACTATAACTAATTACTAACTAACTAACTAACTAACTAACTAACTAACTAACTAACTAACTAACTAACTAACTAACTAACTAACTAACTAACTACTAACTAACTAACTAACTAACTATCTATCTAATTAACTAACTACTAACTAACTAACTACCTAACTAACTACCTAACTAACGTACCTACCTAACTAACTATCTTAACTAACTAACTAAACGAAACTAACTACTAACTAACTACTAACTAACTAACTACTAACTAACTAACTAACTAACTAACTAACTAACTACTAACTAACTAACTAACATAACTACTAACTAACTAAACTAACGAACTAACTAACTAACTACCAACTAACATAACGAACTAACTAAACGAACTAACTAACTAACTACAATAACTAACTAACGAACTAAACTAACTAACTAACAAAAACTAACTAACTAACTAAAACTAACTAACTAACTAACTAACTAACTAACTAACTAACTAACTAACTAACTAACTAACTAACTAACTAACTAACTAACTATCTAACTTACTAACTAACTAATTAACTAACTAACACTAACTAACTGACTGACTGACTGAGTAACTATTTAACTAAGTAACTAACTAACTAACTAACTAACTAACTAAGCAATAAATTATATTATGTAAAAACTGGAAATGGTGTAAAATATTGCAATAAACTTTGTTATTTACTAGCCTTTAAACGCAAATACACTCACACACATTTTTGTTTATATATAATCCTTTTATTTGCCTGTGTTTTTTTATTGGATTTGGGTTTTTTATTATTTTGTTTTTAAAACAGGTGCCAATTTTATTTTTAATAAATGGCACATAAACTCACACTTTTAAATATAAAAAAACTCTTATACTACATACATAGGTATGTATAAATGCCAAATATTTTATAAAACACACACATACACACTCTTTTTTCTTAACAGTGTATTATAGTAAATCGATATTTTCAATTCAATTAAATTTGACTAAATTCAATTTCTTGTTTAAGTTTTATTTTAAAATTCTTATTTTTCAATTTCTTTCTTTCTTGTGCACTGTAAAGGATTGTCAAGGACATTTCGTAGTTAAACAATAGAATTTAAGGCAAAGCCCGAGTGTTTTCTTAAACTTCAATACCACAAATTTTAACACATTGTAGAAGAATCAAAGATAACTGTAACAATGTTGTGCTACTTGCAGAATTAGAATCAATGTGCCAAATATGATTGAAAGTGTTTTTTTTTTTTGCTCTAACGAAATAAATTTTCCGATACGTTTTTGAGACACAACACCACACAACAACTCATTTAAACTGTTCCCGTTCATAACCAAAGCACAACTGATACAATGTTTACCTTTGCATCTTTTGTGGAATATACAAATAGCAAAAAAAATATTTAGCAACAAGAACCAGTTCTTCTTCTAATATAGTATTTGTAGCCAGTCAGAGCAGCTGTGGCAGAAGCTGTTTGACGGAATGGCGGACGGGCGGACTCACTGACTGTTTGTTTGTGGATGGATGGATAGATGACTGGACTACCTGCAGTGTCCAAAATACCATTTAATCTAGTATGTACTAAAAACATTTCTTTCTTTTTATCCAATGGAAATTTCTTCTTTCTGTTCAATATTTTTTTCCATTTTTTTTAAATTAATCTGTGTGGTGGAAAAGCAAACGACACTAAAAAGCTGTATGTTTGTATACATTTGGTATTGGTTTGTTTGGTTTCAATTGAAAAAAATAACAAAATAACCAAATTTTTTATTCGTATATGTCTTTAGAACTCTTAGACGAACAAGTAGGTGATTTTGTGTTTGTATTTAAATCAAAGGCGCCAGTATTACCGTTAGGTGTTATACATAGTAGGAGAATACCACTCATATATGGTTACACTCACAAACATTTTCACAATGGAATGGAAAAGTTACCTCTAACTTTTTTCTTAAAAAGAAATTTTTTTTTTAAATCTTCCATAAAAAGAGACAAATTTTCAAGAGTAAAGAAGAACAAACATCCAAACATCTATAGAAATAGGTTTAAAATTTTTTATAGAATAGGAGAAAGTTTCAAAAATTGTTGATGGAAATGAAAATATTTTTATAAATAGTAATTTATAACCGATTATGGCCTATATAGGCTAGGTTACAGAAATAATGAAATTGAAAAAAATTATTGGAAAAAATTTTTTAAAATAGAAATTTCCAAATGATAAATTTTCGAAAATTTTTTATAAAAAAGAACCATTTTCTATAAAGATGAGAAAGTTTTAAAACTTTATATAAAAAAAAACAAATTTCAAAAATTTTCTTAAAACGAAATTTATGAGAAAAGTTTCGAACATTTTTTTATAGAATAGAATAGAATAGAATAGGATAGAATATAGAATAGAATAGAATAGAATAGAATAGAATAGAATAGAATAGAATAGATAGAATAGTAGAATAGAATAGAATAGAAGAATAGAATAGAATAGAATAAAATAGAATAGAATAGAATAGAAAAGAATAGAATAAAATAGAATAGAATAGATAGAATAGAATAGAATAGAATAGAATAGAATAGAATAGAATAGAATAGAATAGAATAGAATAGAATAGAATAGAAATTTCAAAAAGTAGGAGAAAGTTAAGGTCATGTTCTACAAAACAAATTTGAAAATTTTTTCTGTAAAAAAGTGAAATTTGTGACAATTTTCTATAAAACGAGAAAATTTCAAAAAATATCTATAAAAGAAAAGTTTTCAAAAATTTACAGAAAACAGAAAATTAAAAAAAAATTAAGGAGATTTTTTTTTTAAATTGGAAATATTTTCTATAGAGAGAGTTTCGAAAATATCTAAACATTTTTTATAAAGAGTAATTTCTCTTTTTTATAAAAAATGTGAAAATTTTCCATAAAGGAAAAAGACGGAAAGGCGGACGGACAGACAGATAGACGGACGGACATGGCTTAATCGACTCTGTATACTCTTCTCAGGTCCCCCGGGGGAATACCTTGATGAAATACCCCTTCTTGGTGTGATTGCAATCCCGAAGATAAGAGGTGCTACCAGTACCTCTAGTCTGCCGGGACTATAAACTGGTGATGATCAAATGTTTACTCGGCCTTTCCTTGGAATGATCTAACATGGGGTGGAACCAGAAAACCACATCATATGCTACTATGGGTGGCCAGTTGCCCGCAGGCTAGTTGGTTGAGGTTCCTTCGGGATCTACGTTGTGACTGTGGTTTAAAACCAAATTCGCAGGAAGAGAATGTCGGTTAAAGGTCTAATGCGCGTTGAAATCTATAATTCGGAATTAGTTCGGTGCTGTTGCCGAAGTCAACAGATACCCCACAGAGGAATGACTGTGGGACTAAGCGTTGAAAATAAGTTGGTGTTACGAATCTTACCTGTACGTATATCTAGATTGTGTGTGTCGGATGTTGTTCTCTATGAATGTATCGGATGAGTGAGAAGTGTGCTGGGTCGAATGGTGATGAATGAAACGTGATACCATCGAATTTTCCTTTCTTGTCTAGGTATCTTTAGGGAAAACTCTGTTTATACCAGTTTTACCACAATGTGTTCTCTGTGAGTAAGATCAAAGTCCTCGGCTTATTTGATGGATTCGTGTTTCGGACTCCAGGTGCTGTTGCCAACTCAACAGAGGCCATCACATCTGCGTTGTTGTAAACGGAAGTGATGTTTTTACATGTCGGAAGTTAAGTAGTGCTTAAGTGCTTGTAAATGGACCGGCAGAACCAAACAAAAATTGACACCAGCGTGTAAGACACACAAATGGGCGTTGGTGAGTCGTCACAACAGCTCACCCTGTGGGTGAAAAAGACCACCGTGAATTTG